TGGTCGAACAGCCGCGCGCGCTGGAGGAGGTAGCGCAGGACGAAGTACACCGCCACGGTCGGCACGAGCAGCGGGACGGCCATGTGGAAGAGCAGGCCGATGGTCAGCGTCGTGAGGTCGAAGCTGTACCAGTCCACGTAGTCCGGCCGGCGCCGGGCGAAGAGGGCGTCGTAGCCGGCCTGGGTCGTGGCCCGGCCGCGAAGCAGCAGGGCCTTGAGAAAGGGGATCGGGTCGATCGCGTCGACCCAGATGGAGAAGCCGATCGCGTAGAAGACTTTGGCGTAGAAGTAGGCGTTGCACTTCGGGACTACGCAGTCGAGGAAGAGGGTCCAGATGAAGTCCTCGGTCGGCGCCATCACCAGCGCCGCGATCTCCTCAATGCCCCCTTGCAGCGCGGACTGGAAGATCACACCGGACAGCACCATGAAGAGGGTTTGCAGTTGCAGGCACTCCTCCTCGAACTCGCACTTGCTGAGGAGCTTCATGTTGCCCACAATGTACCGTATGATCATCGGCAGAATGAGGTTGAACACGGCCAAAACCACCACCGGAAGGTACGTCATGATGACTTGCATGAGTAAGTTCGGTACGTTCGCCTCGTAGGCCTTGATGAACTCATCGTGGTAGCCAAAAATAAGGGCAATGTTCTCCAGTGAGCTGATGGCGGCGATCGGGATGGTATAGAAGGTGACCAGGAGAATAAACAGCAGCGTCATTAGAATTTTACGCACAATGACGGAAAGTTTCCGAATTTGGAGGTTCTTCAGGAGGATGCCTTGGTGGGGCCCCGCGATGCTCGTGAGCGTGCTGCTCGTGAATGTACCAAAGCACGCCCGAAAAAGGTTTACAAACTCGAAGGCGGCGCGGCTATTCTCAAATTCGACAAATCCGGCCAAATCGGCCTTCTGCATGGGGGCTTCCAGAATGTACTGGTTTAACATTTCCGCGGCCTCGCGGAATCGGTTTTCGTAGTACTTCACACACATTTCGCGGGTGCCGAAGGGCTTTGAGTAAGGCATGGAGAATTGTCGTACAGACCTTTCCGCCTCAGTACGGTGTTCCATTATCATCACTTGCTCTGAATTATTGCTTCCATCTCGCGCAACGACTTCATTTCCCCCTTCACCGTTGTTCGCGCTTGAGGCGGCGCCGGGAGGAGGGATGTAAGCTTGCTGAGCGGTATTCGTTTTTTTCTTTCGTTTCGCCACGATGGCCTCTTGAAGCTTTCTGACGTACACCCTTTCAGCATGCATCGTGGAGACCATCCCGGGGGGGGGTTGCTGTGTGATCACGACCCGCTTGACCTTCTTCGTCTCCCACAGGATGGTATCCGAGCGGTTTAGCATACAGCTCCGGTGTCTTATCATACCCCAAATAAAATCCAGGTGCAGCCACTCCAGGCATGAATGCCACCGCGGGCTATTGCTATTTCCGTCAAAATAGGTGGTCTCGACGAGGAACTTTTTCTGGAAGCTCGAGACCGAGGACATGTTCTTTTGCTTTGAGCTTCGAATGCAGACCAGGCGGTAGCCCGGGGCATGCCGAATTTGCTGCGCCATCACCTCGTCAATGTACCGGCTCACTATGCGGACGAAGTAGACCGTCAACAGCGTGATGACAAGGCAAAACCCGGCGTTGAGGAGCCCGACCAACCACCACACCCAACTCTCCGGCGGGATATTCTGCACGGTGACCTTAAATAGCGCCTGATAACGTGCCTCAAAGGTGTTTTTGATGGGCGTGGTGTTCACCATGCCCTCTGGGCAGGTGTCCGAATCGATACACTTCCACTCCTCCATGTCGATCCCATAGTTTAACGTGAGCACGACGATCCATATCATAAATAAACTGCCCAAAAACATCACCGAGGTGAAATACTTCAGCATGGAAATGTACAATACCGCCTGGGGGTCGACGTAGTCCCGCGAGAAGCCCCCTTCCAGCTCAAAGGGGAACTGCCCAAATTTGAAGGGATGGGTGGGTGAGGAGGGAGGGAAGGTGGATACCGCAGCCATATGCGTTTCCTCTGTTTCCCTTCCTCCACTAGGATTTGAGTCGAGTAAAAGGTTCAAGTTGTTCTGTCTCATCGGCAGGTTGTCGTGCGTTGATTCGGCCCTGAAGGCTTCCGCATCCGCCTCGCTCTCGGGGTTTTCCGAAGACGTCCTGTTATACAAGCTGTCAATGGAAGAAGGAGGAAGCATGACTAAAGATCCACGCGGTATTTCCTCCACCACACTAACCCAATCCTGAAAAGACGGTAGCGAGAATAACGCGGAGCGAGCAGACAGGTCGACTACGCGGCACTTCGCTTGATCAGCACTCGCATTAGATGATCCACTTTCAAAATTTTCATTGCAATCCGTTCGGTATTTACATCCCTTAGTCTGAGTCCGGATGTGAAAAGAATTACTATTCGCACCACTAGCATTAGTGGTGTGGCATGTTTCGCTCTGTTCTAGTGGGGTTAATATTGTATGATTAATTCTGAAAAAGCGCTTAATCCATAAGGTTTTTGTCCAGCATAAATAAGCAAACAGGATCGCAAACGTGGTGAGACACGTGAAGGAAACAATCATTGTTGATTTTATGTTCACTTTTATCGATGAGTGGAAGATAATGAATTCATCGTTTTTTACCCAAAAAGGATGACTATGAGTCGCATTCATTTTTACAAATGATTTTGAAATACAGCTTATAATCGTGCGCTTGTCAAAATACTAGAAAAAAATAACGCTGTAAGAAAGGATGGATAAATAGATCAATATCAGTCAAAGCCAGTAGTTTACCTTTCCACCGCTTTCAATATCACAACAAAAAAGGGAAAGATGCACATACCCATGCTAGAACATCTTGCTTTACAACATAAGGGAGCGTTTTACATGTTTTGGTTAATTTTCCTTCTAGATATGCACACCACTATATATATATATATATATATATATATATAT